TATATATATATCTCCCTTAATTCTTTGTCAGCAATCCAAATTTTGGAGAGAGAGAGAGAGACAGACAGAGAGAGAGAGACAGAGAGAGATGATAGATAGAGAGAGAGAGAGAGAGAGATAGTAGATAGAGATAGATAGATAGATAGATAGATAGAGAGAGAGAGAGAGAGAGATGATAGAGAGATTAGATAGATAGAGATGATAGAGATAGACAGATAGAGAGATAGAGAGACAGATAGACAGAGATAGAGATAGATATAGATAGATAGAGATGATAGATAAGAGATAGATAGATAGATAGATAGATAGATAGATAGATAGATAGATAGATAGATAGATAAAGAGATAGAGATATAGAGAGATATAGAGATAGATAGATTAGATAGATAGATAGATGATATAGAGAGATAGATGATAGAGAGAAAGAGAGATGATAGATATAGATAGAGAGATGATAGAGAGAGAGAGATAGAAGAGGGAGAGAGATTAGATAGAGAGATAGATGATAGAGAGATAGATATTATGACGATATATATATAGATTATGATGTTATAGAGATAGAGAGATAGATAGATATTATGACGATATAGATATAGCTATAGATTATGATAGAGATAGATAGATAGATAGATGATAGATAGATAGATAAAACCACTTTTATCCTGCCTTTATTATTTTCATAAGTAGCCCAAGGCAGTGATCATACCTAATACTTTTTGTTCCTCCTACTTTACCCACAACAACTCTGTGAGGCGAGGTGAACTGAGAGAGAATAACTGGCCCAATTTCACCCAGCCAGATGACATAAGAACCTAAATAAAGTAAAATCTTCATAAGATTCTATACCAAACACATTTAAGAAAATTCTGGGAACTGAATGTTGGTTTTACTAGCTCAATTTAGCAAGGCGAGTATTCTGAAAGAAGCTCTTAGATTAGATGCTCTGTCACAAAACAGGAACAAAACAGATCAAAACACTTATGTTCCATCTCTTAAAAGCATTTGTTTTGTGTACTATAGTGCCTTTGTAGAGTACAATATTTTGTTCCTATAAGGAAGTATCTTTGATTTAGTGAAGTATCTTTGATTCAATGCATTCAAAATGTATAACATTGATGCCTGCCTGCACTCGAAATGCGGATGGAGGATTTGAAGGAGGCTGTGTGACACAAGAGCGTGGAGAGTGCTGATCCCTAGAGTGGATGTGGGTTGGACACAACTAAATGGCTGATGACAATGCTCTTGAGATTGACCGTTCCGAGTCCACTGACATGCATGGTGCTTAATCTTCCTTGATTTCCTCCTCCTGTTAATTTTTACCCTAACTTCAGGGTGGGCTGAACCACTAATTCAGGAACACTGATTGCAAGAAATATTTCCCCTAATTAGTAAAACTGATAAAGCCATCAAAGGACCAAATCCTAAGATTTGGGAAGCAGCCCACTTGATTGCTGCTATTTTCATTGCTGATTTTCTTAGCAAAACAGTGGGAGGGAGGGGGTATAGCAAAAGCCTATCTGCATAAGGAAATGTCGCCAGAATAATAAACTCTTCTCTTTGGTTAGTCAGAGCAATAGGCATATATTTTTTTTAATGACTCATCAGCTCCGCCTCCAAAATTATTTTGATCATCAAAAGGATTTTGGAAAGCCTTTTCAGGCCAGTAATCTTTTGGCAATCAATTTGGTCAGGCTAGGACAGTGATGGCGAACCTATGGCACACGTGCCAGAGGCGGCACTCAGAGCCCTCTCTGTGGGCACACCTGCTGCCACCGCCACCAGCTTGTGCAGGTCCATTAGGCCACTGCTGGCGCCTGGAGCGGCAGCCCCACCCAGCACAAAGGAGGCGAAGCAGCTGGCTAGCAAGCTCGAGTAGAGGTGGTAGACCACGCTCCCATGTGCTCGCTGGCGTCTGTGCGGGGGCTAATAGTGTCAGGAAGCAGCCCCCCTGCCTCGCCATGCCCCGCAGCAATGGCACCCCTGCCCTACCCCGCCTCACCCCACAGGACGAGCCTCCTACCACCACCTGACCCACCAGAGACCCCCTGGATCTCCCTCATTCCTGCCCGGGCTGGCGTCCCCCCACGAGCAACATTCCTGCCCCCACAGGCGTCCCCCCACGAGCAACATCAAGGTGGCCACGCCCACCCCAGCCACACCCACTCAGTCTGCCGTGTCCACTGCAGCCACGCCCACCCAGTGGGCCACACCCACGCCCACCCACCCCGAGGGCACCACAATGCTGATGCGGCCCTGGCACTTTGCGATAAATAAGTGGGTTTTGGGTTGCGGTTTGGGCACTCGGTCTCTAAAAGGTTCGCCATCACTGGGCTAGGAGGAAAATTATTTACTCCACCCAGTTATGTGTTTTCTTTTCTCCCTCCTTCTTGGCTTTTTTTTTTTTGTCAAAATGGTCCACCTCTTTTGCCTCCCATTTTTCGCAGACTTATCTAGGCTACTTTTGGCTCAGGTTAGAAATCTTTTATAAAGGGCGAAGGCAAGCTTTACTTGAAGTCTTTTTTCTCCATCAACGGCCGAAATCATACAGGAGAACAGCAGGGAGAGTCAGGCAGTCCTAAGGCCTTTCCACCATCCCTTGCCAGTCTTTTTTCTTATTAGACAGAAAACCCTTTTGACCCTTTAAAGTCCAGAACCCTGGACTGGACTAGCAACATGGGAGGATAATGGGACTGATGGGTTGTCAAATTTGCTCATGGCAAAAAAAAAAAGAAAAGAAAAGGTGTGGCAACATCCAGGCTGACTGAAAATTTTTTAAAGATTTCCCCTGTCTAGTCATGACTGACTCAAAGGGGCAGTGCTTATCTCTGATTCTCAGCCAAAGGCGCCTGCGTTGTCTGAGATGCTTCCATCATCATGCGGCCAGCCTGAAAAGTATGGAATGCAATAACCTTTCCCGCTGAAGTGGTAGCTATTTATCTACTTGCATTTGCATGCTTCCAAACCGCTACGCTCACAAAGAGCTCACCCTGTTGTGCGGCACTCAGGTTTCAAATCCAGGCTGTTGGCTTTCCAGCGGACAAGCACAGCATCTTTAACTGCTGAGCCATCGCGCTGCGCCTAGGCCAGTGATGGCGAACCTTTTAGAGACCGAGTGCCCAAAAACTGGCTCCGCCCCTGCCCCGCCCCACCCTGCCTGCCCGCAGGGCCACTCACCGCCTCCAGGGCCCACCGCAGATCGCCCAGGCAGCCCAGCAGCGCCATGGCAGCCACGCCCTCTGCCCGTGCCCCGCAGCATCAACTGTGCATGTTGGGGCATGAGGGCAGAGTCTTGTCCACGCTGCCTGGCTGCCATGTCCTTGGCTGCGCTGCTCTGCGTGGGCCACGCTCGGGGACGACTCTCCTCCAGGGGGGCTGCTGGTGAGGAGGGGGTCGCGGGCGGAGGCAAGGCTGGGGCAATGGCACGTGTGCCCACAGAGAGGCCTCCGAGTGCCGCCTCTGCCACCCGTGCCATAGGTTCGCCACCACTGCCCTAGGCTGACAGAATGAGGCTGCAGTCTAAAATAAGCAGGTTGAACGGGCCCCGAGAAACGAAATATCCTGCAATAGGAAGAATTGCAAATTGTTGTTTTTATTTTACATTTATTAAAGGGATTTAAATGATTTATTAAATGGGTTTAAATTAATTAAAGGAAGAAAAGCGTCGGGGGTTCACGATTTGAAAACACCGAACATTCACTTGGCATGGTCATTGACAAAAAGGTGACTAAGAGCCGGCAATTAAGACAGCTGCCAGATGGGACTATGGCAGTTCTGTGACATGTCAGAAGTAGCACTGCGTCAAGAGCATAGGAAGCCCTTATTCCCCTCCAGCAGGCTCTCTTGGCAAAAAAAAAACATTTATCAACTTTGTCATACAAACTCAACTTGCTGACGGAGAGGTTAGCAGAGAATTCAGTCACCTCCTTCTCCGCCTCATAAGACTATCTTAAAACAGGTGCCAAGATCTGAATTCGCCTCCCCTGAGCACATAGTATTCAAGCATATTTCCCTCCTCTAATTTGCAGTCATAAATCATGTTCTCCAATCAGTTTGAAGGGCAAAGTTTCCCTTCAGTTCTGTAGCCTTATCTTAACTAATCCCCACACACATTCTTTCTCCTCCCCTCCCAGCATCATCTAATTTAACTCTAAAAGTACCACACAACTTATACAGAGAGTGGCTGCCTCTTCGTATTTTGTCAAAGCAAGAACACCCAATGTTAGCAGCGTTGACAACAGGTCTGTACAAGAGATAGTCACCTTCTTACCTTTAAATATAACGTGTCCCCCATCTCCTCCATCTCCACCATTGGGACCTCCAAATTCTTTTCTAGGTTCACTGAGAAAACAGGCAATGCCATCTCCTCCTTTCCCTCCGATCACCCGTACCTTTCGGTGATCGACGAAATAACGACTCTGGAATGGGGAGACACATTATTCAGAGATGCTTATCTTTTGTAAAGTTTAAAGCTTCAAAAGCCTTCATTTCTAAACATACTCGTGTTCAATTCTCGAGGAAACATGTAGGGCTCATTTTAAGGATTGATCTGATGAATACTGTGATATTGGTAAAAATATTTACCAATTTTGGTAAAAATATTTACCAGTTTTGGTCACCGCGATGTAAAAAAGATGTTGAGACTCTAGAAAGAGTAGAGAGAAGAGCAACAAAGATGATTAGGGGACTGGAGGCTAAAACATATAAGGAACGGTTGCTGGAACTGGGTATGTCTAGCTTAAGGAAGAGAAGGACGAGGGAGGACATGATAGCAGTGTTCCAATATCTTAGGGGCTGCCACAAAGAAGAGGGAGTCAAGCTATTCTCCAAGGCGCCTGAAGGCAGGACGAGAAGCAACGGGTGGGAACTAATCAAGGAGAGAAGCAACCTAGAACTAAGGAGAAACTTCCTGACAGTTAGAACAATTAACCAGTGGAACCACCTGCCTCCAGAAGCGGTGAATGCTCCAACACTGGAAGTTTTTAAGAAGAGACTGGACAGCCTTTTGTCTGAAATGGTATAGGGTTTCCTGCCTGAGCAGGGGGTTGGACTAGATGACCTCCAAGATCCCTTCCAACTTTATTATTATTATTATTATTATTATTATTATTATTAGTATTAGTATTAGTATTACTGCTGCTGCTGCTGCTGCTGCTGCTGCTACTACTACTACTACTACTACTACTACTACTACTACTACTACTACTACTACTATTTAAAGTTGGGGAAGAAACCTACCATGGTGGCCTGCAATCCAGAAATAGTTTGTTCTTTTTCTGGAATTCTACCAATTATTCAGTTAAGAGTACAAGCTACCACCACCTTCCATTTTTCTGAATTCATGAGTGCAGCTTGCTTTTCCCCCCAACGCAATCTCCCTAGGAATATCCCTCAAAAGGATGTGCACAGCCTTAGTTTCAAAGCACGGTAATTGGGCTGTGTATAAATCCAAGCCTTGACATGTCTTTTAAAGGAAGACAAATTTTCTAAAAGATGACAGTGATCCCAAACAAGGGCGCACCTACAAACATTTTCCACCAAATGTTGAAAAATTTAGTGAAGTTGAAATTTTGGCATTAATCTCAGGTTTAATGCCTGATATCTCCAGATGAGAACTGCCTAAAGCTAACTCTGACCATAGTATAATAAAAAAATGCCCAATATACTATCTTTCTTACAAGAAAAACATTTAGCAATCCCCCAAACAACGTCATTGGAAAAAAAAATAGCTATCAGTTTCCGCAAAGGTGATTTTTCAAGAGGCAAATGGACTTTCTTGTTTTTCTTTGAAGACATTTTGCTTCTCATCACTTCTGATATTCTTTATTCCTTTTCAAAAAAAAAAAGAGCTGTTTGTTAGATGACAATTAGACAAACTATGCTGAAAAGATATTTTGGATTTTTAAAAGAATGCTGGCTTATCACATGAACAAAATACAGATGGCCAGCTATATGTTGAACTGGGATAGTTCCTACCTTCTTAAATATATCCTTTCTCAAGTTTCTATAGCACCACCAAGCGGTGAAGCTGAAAATTGCTGCAGTATTCAGTAACATATTATTTAATATGTCTTTTGTGTGTTTGTTGTTGCCAAAAAGATTTATAAAATCAAAAATTTGAAATCTCTCAGATAAACCAAAATTCACTAAGAGACCTCTCTCCTGAGAAAGAGGGATTTATTTATTCAGTAATCATTTCCATAAATGTGGGACTCAAAAGAGTCAGAAGGAGCCTAACGGCATGCTGCAGCTCACAAAAGCATGCTTTTTAATAAAAGTTGGAAAAAGGGCTACTGCATTTCTTCAGGTTTTTGGCTATTACAGACTAACACAACTCTCCTATGATATTCCAAATAAAACTAACCAATGATACAATCTAGCTACAAGAAAATCAGCACTAATAAAACTTAAAATGAAAGCCTGATTTTTTACATTTCATGTGTTTATATTTGAATTCAAAAGCTAGGATATTATAGAACACTATCAAAAGTTATAAAGTGAATGCCAGATGGATGAATTTAGGTCAGTCACCATTACACTATTTATTATCTCATAATATTGCTGCAATATTAAAATTGAGACCAATGTACATATTGTGTTCCAAAGAAAAAAAGGATGCAAATTCAACAAATATATACAATAACCATCTTTATACAAAGGAAAACCCCAAATTCAGTAGAATGTATTTATGTCTGTCTGTCTATGCCAGTGGTTCTCAACCTTTTTAATGCCGCGACCCCCAACCGGTCGTAAGTCAAGGACTAAACCGGTCATAAGTCGAGGACTACCCAACCGGTCATAAGTCGAGGACTTTCTCTGCCCGGGAGCGCCGCGCATGCGTGGTTCCGCCCCCTGCGCCGGCCGAGGCGTAGCTGGCAAGCGGCAGAGATGGAGCAGGCCGACCACCAGCTGGCCCAGCCCAAGGGAGGTAAGGCACCCGCCGGAAAAGGGGAAAAAAAATGGCGGACAGCCTTGCTTGGCGACCCCCATGAAATGGTCGATCGACCCCAAATGGGGTCCTGACCCATAGGTTGAGAACCGCTGCTCTATGCAATTCTACACCTTAAACACAGAATATCATTTGCATGCAAAGGATATTGAAAACGTGTCAGGATTGTCACCTAAATGCTTAAATCTTAATTTAATCATTTTTGTATTTTGTCATAAATTTGTGCTTTCAGAAAGAGAAATAAGAGACTTTAAAAGTACTTAAGAAAAACTTACAAAGAAATACAAATTACATATTTTTAATTAATCTGAACATTTGTTTACTTTACCAGCTTCTTCTCAGATATATTTCCTTTACAGATTTTCTGCAGTTTTGAACATTGTATGTTTGTTATGCTAAGGCTCCTGTGCCAGTTTTTAATGTGCTTTTGCAGTAAGCATCTGTGTATTTGGGAATAAGCCGGCCTCCACTGACTTTCCAAACAAGCTCTGACCATTATTTGTAGCATATTTGCCTAGAAGGAAAAAAAAAAAAAAGATGGGACAATAAGGTAAGTAAAATATGCCAAAGAGCATATATATTTTGTACCACATCTGGAACAAAAATGAGTAGAAAGATCAGTTGCTTCCATTTTTTTTTATTTTCAGAGGTTGTAAAAACATTAGAAAAAACTTTCAGAACAAAAAACGTTCAGCTCAGATTTTTGAGCGTTCTCAAAAATATTAGTGTTGTTGTGGGTTTACACCAGTGTTTCTCAACCTTGACAATTTTAAGGCATGTGGACTTCAACTCCCAGAATTCCACAGCCAGCAATGCTGGCTGTGGAATTCTGGGAGTTGAAGTCCACATGCCTTAAAATTGTCAAGATTGAGAAACACTGGTTTACACAGAAAGGTAAAACAGGCCTGTTATATGTAAAATATATTTTAAAAAAATCTTTTTCCTCCAACTCAAACAACTGTGTAGCATCAACTTTATGTCATGCATACTTAAGCCTTGCAGAAGTAGCAAAAGATTTTCTCCAATATTGTTACTTCTACGTGGGGCCAAGCAACACAAGCTGCAACTGAGAAATGAAGATAAATGGACAAATTTGAAGTTTGCTGGTTCAAAAGAAGCAGGTTTATTCTTCCCCTTTGTGGTGTGGTTAAGCAAATCCCTTTTCTTTCTCCCCTTCGTGTGTATACTATTTCTGGGTGGAAGGGCTCCAGGTTCCTCGGACAGATTATTTCAGCCATGTTTACAGCCCTACAAGGTAGACCAGTGTTTCTCAGCCCCAGCAACTTTTAAAGTGAGGGGATTTCAACTCCCAGAATTGCAAGACTAAAGTTCAGAAAGCTTAAGGAAGGCCAATGTTGCTATGATCAACATGGGAAGCCTCAAATCCCTTCAAAGAGGGAATAAAGCGAGGCAGAGGGAGAAGCCCGCATCTGACAGCTTCTCACTCTCCACACGCGCTGCCTCGCCTCCCACCGCCTGGGATCCCTGGCCACCCACAATGAAGATTGGAAGCCCGCCCTCCCGCTTCTCCTTTGGCTTACTGGAACTCCTCTGCTTTTAGCGCCTCAGTTTCGTCCCCGTCCCCCCTCCATAGAATAAGGGACGGGGTATACACGAGACTGTCAAGGTAGGAAAGCTTTCCCGCTTCATTCACACGCAGCAGTATCCTCAGGAGCCATCTTGGCCGCTCCAGTGTTCGGCGTCGCCCGCCGTGACGTCACAATTGCGCGTCGAGGCGGCTGCGGCCAGAAAGAGAATCTGATCTGCTGCCTTTAGCAAGCCCGGATCTTTCTGCGCAAGCGCAACCCCAAAGCGCTCGAGGAAGGAGGGAAAAGAAGGGAGTCGGTATTACGCGTGCGCAGGCGCGGTGTCGCACGAGGCTGCTGCCTTTCCTCCTCTCTTTCCCTCCCCCCCCACGGTTCTCTGGGGAAATGGGATTGGAGGGGAAAAAAGCAGGCGCGGCGTTGTGAGTGGATAAGAAAAGCACCTAGGGTGGGACTACCAGAAGTGAGGAGGCCAATTACTTTGTTTCAGGAAAAGAAGCTGCTCTGAGATTGGCAGAACTTAGTAGCAAAGGAAACACTGAGCATTTCCTGTGAATTATGTCGGTTTCACAGCCTTGGCAACGTTTAAGATATGTGGACTTCAAATCCCAGAATTCCCCAGGCAGCATTGAATTCTGGAAGTTGGAGTCCACATATTTTAAAGATGCCAGAGTTGAGAAACACTGCATTATGTACATTTAATTGGGGTTTTTTTGGGGGGGGGGAGCGGGAGGGAGGATTAGCGTTTGATGCTCCAGCTAGGTGGCAGGCCGCTGTGACCTGGTTGTGAGAAAGATAGCAGCTATTTGGATGGGAGACCACTAGGAAATCTTAGTGATGGCAAACCACCATCTTCTTCAGAATTGCCTGCAAATACTTTGGACCAACTTCCAGAAATCCCTTCATGTACCCCAAACTCTCCTGTTAGGTGAATACCAATCCTCTATAGTTCAGGGGTTGTATTTGTACAACATATTAACCTAGAGTTTAACAGAATAACAGTTGGAAAGGACCTTGTAGGTCTTCTAATCCAGCCCCCTGCTCAAGCAAGAGACCTTATATCAGGGGTGTCAAACTCGCAACATCATGTGATGTGTCGCGACATATCATAACTTTTTTTCCATTGCTGGCAATGGGGTGGGCGTGGTTTTGCTATGACTCATCCGGCCTCTGGGCCGGCAGTTTGACACCCATGCCTTATATCATTTAGGTAATATCAGTGCTAGAAGAGAGTGGACTTTACTTCCACCACTGATGGCTCTATGCAAGGACAGCAAGCAAGCATTTTATCCAGGGGAAATATGCCCTATTAATATTTAGTTTATATTCTGCCTTTATTATTTTTATAAACAACTCAAGGTGATAAACATATCTAATACTTGAGGCATAGAATCAAAATCACTTGAAGTACTAGTACTGCTTTACAAAGCTTTACAAAGCTGGAATACTGCAGCCAATTTTGGTTACCATATCACAAAAAAGATGTTGAGAGTTTGGAAAAAAATTCAGAGAAGAGCAATTAAGATGATCAAAGGCCTGGAGACTAAAACATACAAAGAACAGTTGCGGGACTTGGGTTGGCTGGTCTAAAGAAAAGAAGAAATAGGGGAGACATGATAGCAGTGTTCCAGTATCTGAAGGGCTGCCACAAGGCAGAAGGGGTCAGGTTGTTCACCAGAGCACCAGAGGGAAGGACGAGAAACAATGGTTGGAAACTGATCAAAGAAAGAAGCAACCTGGAATGAAGGAGAAATTTCCTGACAGTGAGGACAATCAACCAGTGGAACAGCTTATCCCCAGAAATTGTGGGCGCTCCATCACTGGAGGTTTTTAAGAAGGGACTGGAAGCTCCATCACTGGAGGTTTTTAAGAAGGGACTGGAGAGTCCTGCTTGAGCAGGGGGCTGGACTAGAAGACCTCCAAGGTCCCTTCCAGCTCTATTCTATTCTATTCTTATTCTTATTCTATTCCTATTTTCCCCACAATAACAGCTCTGTGAGATGGATTGGGTTGACACAGTGACTGGCCTCACCCAGTCAGTTTTCATGCCTAAGGCAGGACTAGAACTCACAGTCACCCAACTGGTTTTCATGCCTAAGGTAGAACTAGAACTTCCAGTCTCCTGCTTTCTAGCCTGGTGCCTTAACCACTAGACCAAACTGTCCTCAAACCACCCACAGCCGACAGTAAAGGCAATCTTCATCTTTTTGTGGTTGTTGCAAATCAGAAGTACTGGCCTGTCTGAGAAACTGCTGGAGGGAAAAATTGTGTGAATTATTGTTTACGTATGGGTGGCCAAGAACGCACTTAGCTTCCCATTCAGTGACTTCATCAACTGGGGTGGTATTTGAAAAAGATCAATCCCTCCCACACTGGGCTGGACTAAGTTAATAGATCTTTAAAAGAACAATGGTATAGGTTGCCGGGATACTAGTATGAAAAAGTGGGTCAGTTTCTCAAGCCTACCACAATACTCATCAAACTGGTTCCAGGTCTCCTAGTATGAATAGATACAACGACCAGGTAGTCTATAGGAAAACAGGCCTAAAAATATTTAAATTGAGGATAACCATGTACTTAATTAATTAAGACCCAATTAACCCGTTATAGCTATGGCCTAGGACCCTCTCTTTCAACCCTGCGTAGACCAGTTTTCTCAACCATGACTACTTTAAAAAGTGTGGATTTGAACTCCCAGAATTCTCCCTGCTGGCTGGGGCATTCTGGGGGTTGAAGTCCACACACCTTAAAAGTTTGCAAAGCTGAAAAAATACTTAGATGCCACTCTTGCAAATCATTTATGTGCTCCAAATCTTTCTTTTGGATGTTATCTTAAGGCTTTTTATGCTGGCACATTGTTTGGTTGATTTTGATCATTCTTCAGTGAATCCTTTATAAAGTTTTTATACTTAAAGGCAACATGTGCAAATAAATCTGTTAAATAAGCCAGGTAAAAGCCCTTCAGATTAGTGTTTTTCAAACTTGCAACTTTTAAGATTTGTAGACTTCAACTCCTGGAATCTCCCATGCAGTACTGGGAATTTTGGGAGTTGAAGTCCACGCATCTTAAAGTTGCCAGGTTTTTGTTTGTTTGTTTGTTTTAAACTGCTTTAGATCAAGTTCCACCCCGGGATCACTACAGGAATCAGATAAAAGTATCCCAGATAGCTGTCTAACTTCCATTTCAAAGAACTTTATCTTTCCCCCAAAATATGACTAGTAATCCTGTCACCTTGCAGAGATGTTGAAAATTCTAGGAGTGCAAAAATTTGTCTGCTCCAGATCAGTTATTTCTTGCTTAAAACAGAAAGAGTGAAGCCTGACCTCGATAATTACAATTTTACATCTTGAAAAGTGACATTAATGCCTTTTTTCTCATGCAATGATCTTTACTTGAAATATTTTCCGATTATAAATAGAACGTAGTTTATGTATCATTTTCATTAAACCTGCAATTTAAAAAAAAAAAACAAAACTAAAACAGACTTTAAATATAGTTACACCAGTCCTTTTAAAATTGTTTCCGTCATACGAAAAGGTGCCATGGCTTGGTTTCACAATCCAGTCTTTTGAACCTAAAGTGTATTTTAACATTCTGTATTACAAAACAGAAAATATGGTACAAGTAATGAAACTGTTAAAATGCTGGCATTGCCTCGTTTTCACATCAATACATAAAAATCACCACACGTTAAGATATCTTGTTATTAACAGTTAGAAATATTAACACTAAATATCAAGTATAAATCAGGAAATAATGTACAAACTATTTCCAAAGCGCGTTTTCAAATACAATTTATATACAACATTCAAGAAATTCTTAATGTAAGACATTTCCAACAGATGCTATGTTGCTGTTTGTAGATGTTTAAATGCTGCTGTGGCTTTTTCCAAAGTGATTTTTACTAATGTTAGGAAAAAGCAATATCCATAGAAGAAACAAATATCAAAGCTGGTAAAAAAAGAGCAATGTAGATTGTACCTTTTTGGATAGCCACAATTCCAACATAAAGGCAGTTATCTTCTTACTAATCCTCTGATAGTATTTAAGAAGCATTGTTCACATCACTGTTTCTCAAACTTGACAGCTTTGGACTTCAATTCCCAGAATTCCAAGGCCAGAATGGCTGGCTGGGGAATTCTGGGAGTTGAAGTCCATGTGTCTTAAAGTTGTCAACTTTGAGAAACATAGGTCCACTGTTATCAGGCCATCTCCCCTCAAGGGGTGGTACCTACTCAATCTTGGCTGATCTTGAAAAAAGATTTGGGTATGGATAATACATGGATGGGAGACAACCAGGTGATCCCAGCTGACAGGTGCTTATGAAACCATCCTGAAAGCAGACAATGCAAGCTATCCCATATAGTTGCCAACAAAAGAGCAAGGAGCTGTCCATGAAGACATGATGAGATTTAGTTTAGTTGGAGATTTGACTAAATAATGGTATAATTTTCACTCCCTCCCTCAACACAAAGAGGCAGAAATAGCTGCAGATTAGTACATTCAATTGCCCTTTTCAACAATTTTTAGAGGGCATTGTCTGCAACTAGGACAACACAGGCAACACAGAGACTGCAGCAGATGGAGCAGTACCCTAAAGCAGAATATATTAGAGAATTTTAGTGGAAACCTTTTTTAAAGGAAGAAAAAATAAAAATAAAAACAAGGAACACATTATTCCAGCTCTTAAAATGAGTTTTTAAAATATTTGCTTTCCTATTTGTAGTACTAGATATATTGAAGGTTTTTTTTAAAAAAAATTGACAACTAATTAATTGGTTGTTATCCAATCTCCTTTGGATGGAGAGAAAAAGAATACTATATAACAGTTGTCAGGGACATTATTTTGCATGTTACCTTTCTTTTTTTATAACCACTAACTTAGTACGTATATAGTTCTGCTATTGAGATTCTTATCCCGTAGATGAGAATCCATAGCATTCCATAGTTGCCATAAGTCTTGAGAGTTTGTGGGGTAGGGACAGTGGTGGGATTCAGCCAGTTCGCACCAGTTCGGCACAACCACTAGCTATTTTTTTGTTGCCCAGGCCCAGAATGGACTTCCGGAAGCGGCATCCACACAGAGAACTGGTTGTTCACATATTTGAATCCCACCACTGGGTAGGGATGTCTCATCTGTACTTTAATTTTTGTTAATCTCTGGGGCACAACATTCAAAAATGTAAGTGAAAGCATATTGAAAATAAGGCTTTAAAGAATATTATAAGCTAGATTCTTCCATACCAAGTAAGTAAATTTGGTCTGTTTTTGGTGAATTGTAAACTGTGCCAGTTGATTCAAGAGACTAAGATGGCAGAAAACTGGTTGGGTCCCGCTAGAGCAGGGCTGGGGAACGATGGCCCTTTTATGACTTATGGACTACAACTCCCAGAATTCCAAAGTTATAAAAAGTTGTTCCCCATCCCTGCTCTAAAATAACAGCCCTTATTCATTTGACCATATTCTGTGTTCGCTTATAATGTTAAGCCAGAATTTTATTTATTAAATGTTTGTGTTGCCCATCTCCCCCACAAGGTGACTCTGGAATTCTCTAACAATAGTTTGTTAAATCTGCTTTGTATGTCTTCTGAGGATACAATATACAAACTACATTAAGCCAAACTTATGCATACCAACTGCTAAACAAAGAATCTTGGGTTGAGGAGAATTTTTTAAAAAAACACCTGCATTTTGGCCTTCCAGAGAACAAATATATGTGCTGGTGGTATTGCTGACTGGCAGAAAAAAAACAGTGGGTTTTTTGAGGGGAGCATAGGGTGGTTAACTAAAGTGAAAATACACATGTTAAATGTGTATTTTTAATACACATTAATAATTTTAATCTGCTGGGAAAAAAACCCCAAAATCATAGTATGAAAATTAAGCACTTTTTCCTAGAAGCTCAATGTACATTTGTCTATGGAGATTTTCAGTTATCCAAATCCTGGTTGTCCCAAAGGTGCTTATATTCCTTGATGAAAGGAATTTAAATCCTTCCATTCTCCACCATTCAGTCAGAACTGAGGAAGCTTCTTGGATAAGAAGCGAAATGTCTTCAAGCAAAACAAGAAAGTCCAGTTGCCTTTTGGAAAAAAGCACCTTTGGGTCAATATACATTTCTTGTAACATTTGCCAATGTTCCTGCAGATAAATATTTCCTTGGTATTGATTTGTCAGGAGCGATAAGGCCATCACACATCCCACCTCCGGGTCTATTCCAATGTTAATTTAAGAATAAATCCCAGCAATCAAATAATCAAATACAGGTAGTCCTTGACTTGTAACAGTTCATTTAGTGAGCATTCAAAATTACAACAGCACTGAAAAAAGTGAGTTAAGACTATTTTTCACACTTACGACCATTGCAGTGTCCCCATAACCACATAATCAAAATTCAGATGCTTGTCAATTGACTCATATTTGTGACGGTTGCAGTGTCCCAGGGTCATGCGTTCCCCTTTTGTGACCTTCTGTCAAGCAAAGTCAGTGGGGAAGCCAGATTCACCTAATAACCATGTCATGTAATGTCGTAAAATGGGGCAAAATTCACTTAACAAATGGCTCGCTTAGCAACAGAAACGTTGGGCTCAATTGTGGCCGTAAGTCAAGAACTACCTGTAATTTATCCAAAATGGTATACAGTCTTGGGCAGGCGGTTGGATCATAAGACCCTTCATCAAGGTCCCTTCCAACCCTATTATTCTATGTCCTAACAAATTGAAGATGAGTGAGTCATATACAAAATTACTGTCCCACATATTGAGCAAATCTCAAATATATATCCCTACATCCCAGTAGCTGTGGTTTCCATCCTAGCTCAATTAAGTACATTTTATAATACACTGAGCCCAATTAGAATCTAACGAAGAGCAACGCATTTCAAAGGAAGTGCCCCTGTGAATAGCTGAAACACATCTGGGTTGGGATATCCCAGTGCCAACCCAGTTGGGTTAACAGAAAATGAAAGATATATTCAGTTACATGCTTGTCATACAGCCCACAAACATCTTCCCGCTGGGTAGTGGTCCATCAGATCCGAAGAAGGCTAGGTTGCCGATGATCTTGTGAAAAAAAATAACAAGCAGGTCAAAAAACCTCTTGGTGACCTCTTGGTTTCTCCAATGTTATACCTCAAAAGAGGAGATGGCAAAAAGTGATGGAAGAACTTCTGCAAGGACTATTAACAGCAGCACCAAAATGTACCAGACCATCCAAACATTGCCTCGTTGCCAGTACTGTAATGCACTGTTTCATATCCAGCATGAAATGAATACTATTTCACATACAAACGCTTCTCTGTGCTACAGCGGTATCCAACATCTTACGATCCATCAATCATCAATCATTAAAAAAAAAAAGACTTGCCCATACATCCAAGTTCCCAAAAAATGGACATAAATATTGAAAACAAAGGTGACACAGGCGCTTGTCATTTTATTGCTGATAGTTTCCATATTGGCCCTGTTAGACATTGGGAAAGTGAATAAAAGAGAGGAATTAATGTAATAATTCATTTCTACGCACAGTGTAAAGCACACACATATCCCCCCTTTTTCCTTTACAGAATTTAAGGACGTCCAAGACAAACTTTCCAAATATCTGTCAGATCTTCTCAAAAGCGATCAGGACTGGAGAAGAAAGGCACAGAGACAACCTTTTCCAAGCTTAGAGTTAATAAGATTGGGAAAAAATATCTCAAGGGAGAACAGAACAAAAATTCCAGAAAGTACAGGTAGCCTTTGACTCACAACCATTTCTTTAGTGACCGTTCAAAGTTACAACAGCACTGAAAAAAGTGACATGAATGTTTTTCACAGGACCATTGCAGCATCCCCAGGGTCACGTGACCAAAATTCAGAGGCTTGGCAACTGACTCATACTTATGACACTTGAAGTGTCCCGGGGTCACATGATCCCCTTTTGCCACCTTCTGACAAGCAAAGTCAATGGGGAAGCCAGATTCACTTAACAAGCGTTTTCGTAACGTTAACAACTGCAGTGATTCACTTAACAACAGTGGCAAGCAAAGTCATACAGTGGGGCAAAACTCACTTAACAAGTGTCTCGCTTAGCAATGGAAATTTTGAGCTCAATTGTGGTCGTACGTCGAGGACTACCTGTACCGATTGTTTCCCAAATACCATCTTTTTTTTTCTTTTTAAAAAAATACTCCAAATTTCATTCATTCTTGGTGATTTCTCTTTCAAGAAACCTCACTTTCATCTAGTTTCACTTTTTTAAGAGGTACCTCTTCTGGTTTAATTTTGGGAGCGCACAGATACCCTACTGGAATATTGTGGGTGCAATACTGTTGACCCCCTTGAGTGAAATGAAAGTAAATTTCACTAAATATTTCAGAGTGGACATAAGGTTACCGTAAAAATACAGTAGAATACAGATTCTCTGCCCTGAAAACAAATCGTTCAAGCAAATAAGTCTTATTTCTCAACTATTTCTTTTTCAGGAATAAAACTGCCACACCTGGAGCTTCCCAATGTTCTTTGGGTCTACAACAGTGTTTCTCAACCTTGGCAACTTTACGATGTGTGGACTTCAACTCCCAAAATTCTCCAGCTAGCAACGCTAGCTGGAGAATTCTGGGAGTTGAAGTCCACACATCGTAAAGTTGCCAAGGTTGAGAAACACTGGTCTACAATTTCTCATTTTGCCCAGCCCAACGCATCTCACGTCAGCTCAATCCCTCCCCAGCTTACCTGTTCATAGCCATAAGACCTCTGTTGCTGTGCAGATGGTCCGGTTTGTGAAGCTCTGTAGCTTCCGTACTGTTGTCCTTGTCCTTGTTGGTAACTAGAATATTGTGACGAAGTTCCTTGGGCAGGTCCTGAGGGGGGGGGGGGAAAGAAACAGCAGAATTTTTGACAAGAGTTCACAAGACAGAGATCAAATCCCAACTTCTGTGTTCTTTGGTTTGCTGGTTTTCTGTGACCGGACTTTTCATATTTAGCAATCAGGGGGTTTAGCCAAAGGAAACGGGCAGTCTTGGATGGCCTGCAAACCTTTTCGGGATTCCACCTTAAGACCTCCCCCTAAGGAGGCACCTGGACCTCTCGTAGTGGCAGGACAGACTCACTATGAACTAAAGCGTATTCTTGATTCAAGAATTTTTAAAGGGAAATTGCAGGGATATCCATTGTCTGAGGCCACCTGGGTGAAATCTAGCGATGTAAAAGCTGACAGACTCATTAATAGGTTCTATAAGAAACACCCTAACAAGCCAAGAGACAACCCCTAACCTGTGCTTTTGTTTGCATTACAGGATTTGTCCTTTTTGTAAGGGAGGGCGGATGCCAACACTGCTAACATCGGATATTCTTGCTTTCACAACAGATGGAAATGCAGCCATTTTCCTCTATTGCTTTTAGAGTTAGAGTTAGATGATGCTAGGAGGGGGAATGTGGATGAGAGTCTAGCTGGACATAACAATAATAACTCAACCGTGGGAACCCAAGGATATTGGGCTCAGAGCTGATAGGGTTTTGGCAGGCTGGAGAGCTGGGGAGAAAGCCTGTGCTTCAAGCTGATTGGGGAATGTGATTTATTACTGTTTATTGGAGCAGGGAATTGTGCTTTGTTACTTTGTACCCAGGGGAGGGAATTTAGTTTTTGGTTTCAACTATGTAGTGCCAATACTTTGTTTCTCGAATAAAAGATTCTTTAAGGTAAACAATGCCTCGAAGTTCTTTTGAAGAGTTTCATCTATCGGAACCATGACAGACTACCTGTATTCAATGCCAGAACATCTCCTGGACCTCCATCTTTGTTGGAAACAACTCTCTTGCTCCTTGACCTGCCTTTCTTTACCTTATAGTTCCTCTTGTGAAGTCATCCCTGGCTTTTGATTGCTGGCCAGGAATTCAGCTCTGAAATAAAGGACTTCCTTCTAAGC